CCCGCTCCAGTGCTCCACCGATCAGGAATTCAGAACTCACAGCCACCGCCTGCTCCCTCCTCGATAAATCCAACCTATTATCCAAACCGTCTCCCGTCTGATCCGTCGCCGTCGAGGACTCGACTCGTCTATCCACAGGCAAAAGAAGAAAAAAAAAGTGTATCTAGCGGGGAGCGTCGCCGGCGATGCTCTGCTCCGGCCGCATGCTTGCCTGCAACGGCCTCTTGCCCGGTCGGCTCCGGCTGCCGAGGGCCGACGCCTACCGCCTGCGCCCACCAGCGCTCGCGCGGAGGTGGCGCGTCGCGGCCTCCGCTGCGGCGTCCGGCGGCTCCTCTGACCTCCCATCGTCGTCGTCTTCGCCGCCTACTCCTCCGTTCGGGGTCGGGGACGACCAGGCCGCGGCATCACCTGGGTAAAAATATTTTCTGTAGGAAGTTGGTAATTTTAACTCTGCTGGTGAGCTGTGAGGCGTGAGCAAAACATTGTTTGTTTTCGCTGGTCTACCTACGTGTGACTAGTGAGTCGGTTTGTGATTGCCCGTGCGACGAATCTCGTTCAGACATAGCTTCTCTATCCATCAAGAATACATGGACATGTTGGATCTCTTTTGAAAGTAGGTTAATATGTTGGATCTGACTGACAAACTGTTGGCCTTGAACTTTCCGTGAATATTTGTTTGTACTCTTTTGCATTTATCGATAGTATTCAGGCATGGTTTGTGCTCGACGAAGATAACATTGGCCCCTGCTTGGCTTTTTGCAGGTTTTGCATCATCGAAGGGCCTGAGACAGTCCAAGATTTTGCAAAACTTGACTTGCAGGAGATTCAGGATAACATTAGGAGCCGCCGAAACAAGATTTTCTTGCATATGGAGGAGGTGTGTTACTTTGTATTCTTAGTCGTATATTGCTACTTGTTTAGTTAAATATTAGCTTTGTAAGCTTGGCACGTATGAAATTGATTGTCAAAATAGATAAACACTAAATAGCATGCTACCATCCTTGTTACTGCAACACAACTAAAGCTGAAAATGGTCAAACCCCTATCTAAAACATAAGTATTACTTCATTTGAATTAGTTACTAAAGCTTAGTGTGATTTTGTGATGGGAAAGGTTGTTCTATAGCACTGAAAGATGATGATCACATCTTTTTGGAAAATATAACCGAAAGAACCTAATTCCACCGAAAGATACAAACATTATGGAATTTTATCTTTTTGTTAGAATTGATCGGCTTCGAGGACATTTTCCTTGCTTATTTTCTCTAGACGCATACCTGAAATGACAGAAATTCCCATGTTCTAGACTGGCCAGAACAAGGCTGAGCCACACGCCCACACCCTATCAGTTGTGTCTCCGTATTGATGTGGCTATGCTCACATGCTGTGTGCACTCCCCTATGCTCCTCTCTGTCCCAGGCTGCTCCTCACCCCTGTTCCACGCCTGGCCGGCAACCCTGCTATGTCCCATCCAAGCACCAGGCACCACCCCTGCCCATCACGGCCGAGCCAAGATGTCAAGGAGGATAGCCCCAAAGCAGGATTAGTGCATATGTGCTGAATTGGCAGCAGCTATAATCTATGTTGAGAAGGCAGGTAGCATGTCTGTGGAGATGCTGGTGAGATCGTGTTGAAATGGCTGGTCTGTGTTGAGATGGTCTGGGGCATTTTGGTCCAACTTAACGACAGCCAGTCCAAAATTAAACAGAATAACAGATTGCTGAATACCGTAATGTTTGGATCTTTCAATGGTATTTTACAGAGCCAGGTTCTTTTGGTGGTATTTTCCAAAAGACACGAGCTTAGAGTGACTTTTCCGTTGTGTAACTGGGTGCTGTTGTTATACTCATTGTTCTGGGCATCCATGTTATGCAGATACTAGATGACTGCCCATGTGAACCATCATAAAACTTGGGATAGATCTTTCAAAAAAGAAAGCTTGAGATATCCAGCGATGTTTGCATGTCTTGTGCAGCTTCTTTTGTTCTGTACTTCAGATTGAGTGTTTGAGTTGGTTCTGGTTGCAGTGGTACCAGAAAATGCATCGTATTCTCTTTGTGGGTCTTATAGCCTTATTTTCCGTTTGCCTTGTTCATAGATTCGACGGTTGAGAATACAGCAAAGAATAAAAAATGTGGAACTCGGAATTTCAGATGAAGAGAGTGATCGGGAACTCCCTGATTTTCCATCATTTATTCCATTCTTGCCTCCTCTGGTACGTATCTGTGCCTTTTCAGCACTCAGACACTACAATGCATGGTTGTTACTGAAGTACAAACTTTTACCTTATGCGAACAGAGTGCAGCTAATCTAAAGGTCTACTATGCCACATGTTTCACCCTCATAGCTAGTATAATGGTCTTCGGTGGTTTTCTTGCACCAATTGTAAGTCACAGTTCTCAATTTTGGTATCGCTAATGGTGACTGTTCTAGTTTATTTTGCCATACAACTTGATGTGCTATCATGCAGCTGGAACTTAAACTCGGTCTAGGGGGTACATCTTATGAAGACTTTATCCGCAGCGTTCATCTGCCCATGCAGTTGAGGTACTACCACTTTTCCATGGTCCATTCATCTACCAAGGATCATCTAGCTAGGGAAATCAAGACTGATCGGCCATGAATACTAACTGCTTCACTCCTCATTTGTCTACCTGTACTGCAGTCAGGTAGATCCCATTGTGGCATCTTTCTCAGGCGGAGCAGTTGGAGTTATCTCTGCCCTAATGGTTGTTGAGATAAACAATGTCAAGCAGCAGGAGCATAAGCGGTGCAAATACTGTTTAGGAACCGGTAAGTTTTCCTCCAAAACCTTTTCTTTTCTCAAACAGGCAGGAGAGTTGTGTATCACGGCATTAAGAAGAAGTAGAACAGGGTTGAAGAAACCCTTACAAACCCACACAAACATGTGCCCCGAAGCACATGCACTCCACACTAGCTTAACTAGCCTCCAAAACCTTTTCATTATCATATAACATGAACATAAGTTCTATGGAAGATTGCATATGCCATTCAGCTTTCGCAGCTATAAAGTGCATTGTAAGCGTTATTTATGTTGACCTGAAGCTCACACTGTAGTCTGAGATATGTTGTGAAGTTCATTGCTTTCTCAGCTTTAGTGCAGTAATAAGTTTTTTTTTTTGAGGGGAAGTAATAAGATGGTTGACACCTGGGTCAAAATAGTGCTGTGAATTTGAAGTGCTGATAGCTCTTGGGGCCCATATCATAAATTTGTTATGCATTCTGTATGACTACCAAAATATACTTTTGCAATAGAAGACTTCCTTTTTAGCTATGTATGAGCCTTATGGCTCTAGTTTGTATCTGTGTATCATCTCCAGATGGTAGAGGTTGAAACTTTGTTCCGTTATCTAAAAAAAATGATGTGTATAAGCTGAATTTACTGTTTGTTCAGACAGTGACAGTTCTATGTTCATGTCTTGTAGGATACCTGGCATGTGCCCGCTGTTCAAGCACGGGCGCTCTTGTGCTCACAGAGCCTGTTTCAACATTCAGTGACGGCAATCAGCCTTTATCCGCACCAAAGACAGAGAGATGCCCGAATTGCTCAGGCTCGGGAAAGGTAATAACCGGATCTTTTTACATGCTGAATAGTCTCGTGTCACCGAGCCCCCTCAATAGAGATTCTGATTGCACATGAATCATTTGTGAAAAAAAAATCCAGGTGATGTGCCCAACATGCCTCTGCACTGGGATGGCAATGGCAAGCGAGCATGACCCCCGGATCGATCCGTTTATTTGAGGCGCACCGTAGTCCAATAACTGCTGTAACGTGTGGAAGATGCTTTGTAGATAATAGTATCGACAAAAGACTGAGAGGTGTATGTTGTAATTGTTGGCTTATAATTCGTACCTTTTCAGTGAACGAACAATATTTTTCTCTCACAATAAATCAGCTAGCAGTACGTATTTTTAGTCATGGCTTATCAATCAAGCCTCGCTTAATGGTTTTAGCCAGCCAACCGTGTTTATTTCACTGTATACTATTAGAACGTCTTTGTAAAGTAATAATTCGTGTCACTGTATACTAACGTCTTTGTTTCATCCAATACTAATGATTCAATTAGCCTGTTCGCTTATTGGTTTTAGCCAGGGCTTATCAGTCAGTCAACAGTGTTTTTCTTTTATAATAAACCAGTATCAGTCGGGCTTATCAGCTCAGAAACCAACCAGTAAACGAGTCGGCACGCATGTCATATTGTGTATCTATAGCCACAAATGACGCTGACGAATGTCGATGCATTGATGCGCTCTTGGGGCTGTTGGGCTGGTGTTCCAGCAACGCAGTTGTAAGACTGTCTATCAAAAATGGGTCATGGATGATACTGTATTAGTCTCCAATAGAATATCTATATGCGGGACCTATTTGATATGAGTATCCTCTTTTCTGGAGACTTATTTGTAGAAAGAGTTCTCTTTCGGATCCTGTTGTTGGAGAAGACTAAAAATAAGTATCGAACCCTTTGTCTGTAGCACTATCTAAATATGTAATGGATCTTGTATTTTAGGTGACGTTATTGGAGATAGTCAAAGTTATCTTTGCAGTCCATCTCGAGTTGGTGACGAGCGGCTCTTCCGTTTAGGGTTCCCGGTTCCGTCGCCATTCAAATAGTGAACCATTTTTTCCCTATGAATCGTCTCGGATTAGTTGAGTGATTGGGTCGAGTTTTGGCTAGCCGCAGACCCGGGGCCCTACCTGTCATCCGTGGCTCCCATCCGTCAGCCACTCATTCACATCTCCTCCTTCCTCCCGTTTCTTGCGTGCGCGGCCGCCCGCCCCGGCTCCGTCCAGCACCACTCTCCACGCCAGCGCCGCTACTCTCCGCCCGCCCCGTGCCTCCCACCGGGCCACATCGCTAGCGCCGCCCACTGCAGCACTAGCCGGTGCGCCCGGCTCTCGCCGCCGGCTTCTCTCGCGGCCGCGTCGTCGACCCACGTCCCCACCGATTCGGCTGGGGTCCAACGGGGGGAAGGCAACCGATGGACGCGCTCGTGGCGAGCTACGCGTCCGACTCCGACTCTGACGGCGGCGAGCCGGCTTCCGTCTCCGGAGACGCCCCGGTGGTCGCGGAACCTTCGGCCTTGCTCCCACCTCCTCCCCTCGACCTCCTCCAGCCCCCCAACTTCGTAGGCATGATTCCTTGCGCTCCCATCTCTTTGAACCTTATAGCTGCTGATGTTCTGAGTGCTGACCGCTGGCTGCTGATGGTATATGCCTATCTGGGACACTACGTGTGTGGTGCAGATTACTCGGCGATGGCGCAGGGAGGTCGTGTCCGGAGTTTCCCCCATGTGGAAGGCAACTTTGCTGTACATGTTTATATCCCTGGTCTGTGCTTTTGCTTGTTGGCCTTGCTACAAATGTTATTGTTCTTCGATTTGAATGTGCACTTTGAAATCGAGATCAAATATATATGATGTATCCTCTTAGATACCTTGTTGCTCCATGTCGTTTCAGGGATTAGAATGAGCTTGTCAGTAAAAACTTGGCAACTAAAAACATGTCTGCAAATAATTTCTCAAGTTCGTAAGTGATGGGGAAAAAAATTACCCACAATTTTTTTACTGAAATTGTGGCCATCATGGCGATATATTCATATGATCCTACTGCCCCAATGCCCACCTGAATGCTTGCAGAACTAGAATCACAACATTTTTTTGAATCTATAACTGCTCCTCACTTATATTTAGCTGTTTTATTATGCAGTCGTCATACCTTCTGATGCAAGGAAACAGCTGGCCCTTTCTATGAAAAGAGCTGCATCTCTTGTGCCGGATCTCTATGCTGTTGATGCAGACTGCGCACTTTCTGAATTGTGCAAAGATGAACAGAAACTTGAGAAAGTGCTTCTGAGCAGGGAGTTTCATGTAAGCTTGGGAAGACCTGTTGCAGTCCAGGTGCATCAGATTGACTCATTTGTTGCAATGCTTCGCCAGAAATTCCAGCCACAACAACGGTTAGTCATCTCTAAGAACTTCGCTGCTTCGTGACTACTAGTTTGTCCCCTCTGTGGACGCATTTTCCTGTACAGGGTTACAGTTGCCCAGTATTCTTTTTTGTACTTCTCAACTTTTGTGCCTCATTGTCACTGATGGAGATCTTTATACATGTGGAACAAAGGTACTGGATGGAGTTCAACAAATGGGAGCACTTTGTCAATGACGATTGTACACGGTCATTTCTTTCACTAGAAGTTACAAGAACTGGTTTGCCAGAGGTATTTACAGTACATGTTTTGCCATTTTGTGTCATATTTACAAGAACAAAGCCTCTGCCTATATCTATGTCATATTGAATTTTCATAATGAGAACCTTTTGCATCTTGTGTTTACCCTCAGTTTTCTTTGCAGATAAGGAAGCAGATACTTATGGTAGATGAAGTATATCGATTGCATGGTCTTCCGGAATTTTACACGGTAATGGATATTGAGTTATGCATTATGTTAGTGTTTAGGACGAATGACAAGATGCTATGAAACATGAGCTTTTCCTTGATTTCAAATTAATGCATTCAATTAGATAAATCTAGCACATAAATCATTCAAATAGATAGATCTAGCACCTTGCTTGTAAACAAACGTTAGCAAATTCATTCATATGGTGGAATTGTCTGACATGTACACTAAGGCCAATAGTATGCAAAAAAAGAAGCTGGTGTCTTTCATGTATACTAATGCAAATGTTGATATGGAATATCAGTACATGACTACATGAAGAAGTAATCAGTAATCTCTGTCAGATTAAAATGACTAGAACATCATATAAGACTCTTCTAATTTTGTCACCAAATCTAAACGACATTATGAAACTGTCATTTGATCATTTGGCAGAATCCACGGCCACATATATCGTTGGTGTGGGCATTGGGTGATGTCACTGGCAAACTAAAGCAGGCAATAAAGGACATTGAAAAATATCAGAGCAGTATGAGCTCATTGCAAAAATGTAATGTTCGATGCAAGTTCAGTCGTGTAGTTTGTAAAGTAGGTAAGAAGGTGTATGATATCTGTAAAGTTGCAGATTGAAACACACATGAATTACGTTCGATAAGCTTTGAGGTACTGACCTCTTATGGTCTGGGCCAATTCTTGTCATTGGAACAGTGAAACACAAATGTATGCTCTTCTTCAGTACATGGCAGTTACTACTAACTTTTTGCATGCAAATTACGAAATGATGTCTATTGAAACTTGGTAAGAGCTATGGTACAAAAGACCAAATTGTGTGATTCTGCTACCTTTTTTAGCTCTCCCCAACTATTCCTTCTACAGCACCCACTTCTGCTGAGTTCAGCTGAGCAAACACAAATGGTTATAATAGCTAATCATCCTAAGGTTGCAGTTTTGAAATTTGCATACGGCCTTAAAGTGCTAAACACATGTCACATGCCTCTGAAGTTCCTAGTTCACACGTGCTCATCATCCCACATGACACCTTAAATATTCTGCACCATTTCAATTGGGATTAACAGAGATGCCAACAGAGTTAAAAAATGCCTGCTCTCTTTTTGGTAGTGGTGGCTCCATATGCTGTACCGCAGGTATCTAGCAGTTCACTTAAGAAGGCCATTGGATTCAAAACAGAGGTATCCTACTGTGATGCATTGATGGTCCTGCAGTATTGGATAACTCAAAGAATGACATTAAACGGGAGTTCATGTCATCTCCCTCTATATTTACACCACTACAGCGTCCTCGGGCAAGTGAGGTTATTCCTGGAAGGTTTTTGGCGCCAGAAGGTCTCTATTGGCATGACCCGACAGGATGTTCTGAAATAACAAAGGATTTCGTTGCAACGAAAAACAGAAGCATGTTCCCAAGAAGAATGCTGTCTGCAGCCTATCCAAACCTTTGTGAATTATTTACTCTGACATGTGGTGTACCAAAGGCTCCAACAACATCAAATTATGTTGAGATGCTGCTACGGCTGTCAACAATTGCATTGCCTTCACAGGTCGCAAACCATGTCTTTCGTGTATTTGTGAGATAGGCTAAGTATCTGCAGTCTGAAAGTGACAAGATGAATGATATATTGTACTTGAAAGAATCTCTTCAGAAATTAGAAACAACAATATTGCCCACTTCAGCCGATAAATGGGTCTCTCTACATCCTTCTTTTGGCCTTGTTTGCTGGGTAGATGATGATGAGTTGAAAGCAACAGTTTATTAACTCTAGTGGTGTTTACTTCGTACAATTTGGTGACCTTTCTTCTGAGGATAAACAAATGCTGTATGGAAGAGTTGCTGCTTTGATGAAAAGCTTACGCATCCAAGCATTTTCGAAGGTTGTGTATCGTGAAGCTATATTTTATGGTACATCAGATAACAGAGAAAAGGTCTCCTTGATTTATTGGCTTTTGCCATACATGCAACGGTACATCTATAAGATGCACAGAGATACTTAAATCAACTTCCAGAAAAACGACATCATGAAGATTAGCAATCTGCAAGTAGTAGTTGTTGACAAGTTATTCCACAAGTATGTACTGAGGGGACTTGAGAGTTCTAAGAAAAGATTCAAATATCATGGTCTTTTGCAGGGAGATACTCTATACGCAACACTAGATGCTGATTGACATTCAGTATTTTTGGAGGTTTCTAGAATTTTCTTTGATGGATCCCCTGATCTTCATTTTGCAAATTTTCTACACATGATCAAAACCATGGCAGAATCTGGCACCCATGCTGAGCAAATAGTCTTTTATCGTTAACAATCAGAATGTTCCTGAGTTACCTGAGCATGAAGCTGTCTGGTCGTTCTCTTCGTTGTCTGCAGCCAACCAAGGTAGTGCTGATACCCAGGGGGTTGATTTCCAACCTGTTCGTGAATTCAGTGCTCCCAATCATCAGAAGGCACCAGGAATGGTTTCAAGTTGGCCTCTTAGCCATTGGAGAACAGCACCCGTCTTCATAACACCTCTCATAAACCAGCATGCAAGAGGCAAAGGTGAATGATGCTGGACCTTCATCAAACTTAAACATGCCTGCTATGTATGGACACACCGAAGATAGTTTGCTTTCTGTTGATCTTGAAGGGGATTGGATTATAGAAGACAAACCAAGGTCTGAAACTACATTGCTTGGAGGTAGTTCAGCTGAAATCCTTGATGAGCCTCGGATGGTGATGTCTGCTGAACCTTTCAATGCACCTGCTTATTTGAACTTGGAGGCTGGAAGTTCAAGCCCAACGGTCCATGTTGAGCTAACAAATTTCGATGAGAATCTGGCCAATCTTGCAGAAGACAAGAATCAGCGGCTTTCAGATGCAAGCCACTTTAAGAACAGGGAGGCTTGGTACTGGTCGAGAAATGTTTTGCCAAACAGCTAGGTTCCAACAATGTTAGGTGGGTGAACGACAGAATAAGATATAAGATATAATCCTTCCTTCTAAATATCTATCGAAAAAACTTTAACTAAATATACATTAAAATATATTAATACTTATGCTACATAATTAGTATTATTAGAAAGATATTTGAATCTAGTTTTTTAATAAATTTATTTAGAGATACAAATATTGTACGTATTTTCTATAAATTGAGTTAAACTTGCGGCACGTACACCAACGGTGACAGATTTTAAAGGCAGAAGCCACAAGATATTTGGAAGCCGGAGAGCGCTTCTGCCACTGTGTGTTTACTGTTCATGTGGCCCCCCGCTCCATAAGATATCCCTTAATCATTGGCTGCCGCTGCCGCTGCCACCGTCAGCCTCACGCGGGTTGGATAAAGCCATCTCCACTTCTCCCCACCTGTACGGTCTAGCGACGCGCCGCGCTGCCTCCACAGCTCCGCCTTCGACAACGTCCGTGCCCCCGCTCCCGCTTCATCGCCTCTTCCTCTCCCCCGCTTCCCCTCCGCCCCCGCTGTGCCGCCCAGTCCGGGCAAGGATACGCCCACCGGGCGCCTGCCGGCGGCGACGCGCGCACATGCGGAGTCCATTTCCTGTTCTTATGCAGTCCAACACATACATAGTCAATGCAAAGATCAATGTGTGGTTCCAAATCAAACACGGTGCCATGATGGTACCTTGCATGCACCATCCCTGTGTGCAATAAAAGAGCTACACACATGGTCATGGCTACAAATGTAAAATGTTAGTAGTCCTAAATGTCCTAGAACAAGTGGTACCCTAACGCGTGATGGTTCACTCTTTTTTATGTATAATTACGTTCGTTTCTTTTTGAAAATATTAATATGGCCATTAGAACACACACTGTCATAGTTTCTGTACAATAAGATGTCTGCAAAATATGGCAGACTTTTCTAACACCAAATTCTCTTACACACAGGTGTTATATTGTGTCCCTGTATTTGTTATTGACCAGTGAATAACATTATCATGGTGTCTTGGCAGTAAATCTGGTCTTCTTTACGCCAAACACATAGGTAAGTCAAAGGTTGCCCAGTTCATGCTCTCATTGATGGTAGCGTTGATGGTTTTGAAGTGTTCATCCCTACACTTAGGTGGTGTTTGGATTCAGTGACTAAAATTTAGGAGATGTGTCGGGAGAATGTTGCATGGGGTGTTTAGATACTAATAAAAAAATAAATTACATAATCCGTCGCTACTCCACGAGATAAATTTTTTAAGCCTAATTAATCAGCCATTAGCACATGTTACTGTAGCACCACATTATCAAATCATGGACTAATTAGGCTTAAAAGATTCGTCTCGCAAATTAGTCGTAAACTATGCAATTAGTTTCGTAATTAGTCTATATTTAATACTCCATGTATGTGTCCAAACATTTGATAGAACAGTGACTAAAATTTAGGAGGAGCAACCAAACATCACCTTAATCCCAACACACCATGCCCGTTTAATGATATCACTACTTGGAAGAATGTGCCTGTTTAATAATATCACTTTTTTCACGATCATGCAAAGACTAATTTAACAAGGACCACCTACACGGTCTTAGTAATAATATCACTTGTGCTTGCATTTTCTACGGTAACGTCCATGCCACCTTAGCCAAAAGGCAAAGCGCAGGCTGGATCTTGCCACTTCTATACAAGATCACGCATAAATAGATGATTACATTTATTATTGTTTTCTCGCTGTGTTCATGCAGGTTACAGGTACATCAACGAACTGGGGTGCTCCTCCACTGTCCATGCACGCCATGCTAAGAAAAGACTCGCATTGTGTTCATGCCCTCCTTTTGAAATTACACAACTGCGGTTTTCAATGAAGGGCGACGCTTATGTTAGATGATTATGTTGCTGTGCAGCTGCTATATTTGTGTAAATAATAAAACCTTGCGCGTCATGCTAAGAATAACTGATACAATGCAACAGTATTAGTGCATTACACATGCAACAACTGGTCCTATATATTGCATTCTTCCATGCCATGCATTGTACAGGCATATACCGAAATAAATATAGCATCAGAAGTAAAGATGTCAACGGGCCCCGTTCCCCGATTCCCCGCGGGGAATTCACCCATTAGGGGACGGGGATGGTATAAATCTTCTCCCCATGGGGAATTAAACGGGGGAAAAATCATCCCCATTAGGTATGACACCATTAGGTATGATAGGGGCGGAGATGGTATACATGCCCCCGTCCCCGTTCCCCGCGGGGACCCGAAATGTTTAAGGCCCATCTGAGAAGGCCCAATTTCTATGTACATATATAAGGCAATTTGTAACCCTACTCTTATTCTTTCCATTCGTTCCCAAATTCCCAATCCCCTCCCCCGTCGCCCCAGCCGCCGCTGCCTCACGCCACACCCAAGCAGCAACCATGGAGGTAGAGCCCCCTTGTCTCCACCCGATGCCGCCGGCGGCGGCCTCTCCCCTCCATCCGGTGGCGGCAGCGACCGCGACGGCGCCCCACCTCCTCCACTCTTGAAGCCCATGGCAGATCCAACCGGCGGCGCCCTCCTCCGCGCGACTGGCGGTGCCCTCCTCACCTACCGCCGTGGATCTGATGGTGGTGGTGGAGATGGCCGTGATGTGGTGGTGCAAATCCACAGCTTCAACCTCCTCCGCGTGACCGGCGACAGCGCGTTCCTCCACGTGACCGGATCTCTCCATGGTTGGCGACGGCCGCGTGCCCGCCTAGCTCCCAAGGCGATTGGGGGCGGCAGTGCCCTTCTCGGCGCCACCTGAGGCGTTGTCCTCGGTACGGCAACCCCCAGCTCCTCCCTCGCGATGGCAGCGTGCTCGCCTAGCTTCCCAGGCAATGGGGGCGGCAGCGCCCCTCCGTCTGGTCGAAGATTCCGGCGGCCCCGCCCTCCCCGTCCCTCTCGCTCTCATCGCTCGCTAACGGACGCGGTGCCAGGTCTTTTCTATGTGCGGTTGATGCGGAGATGGGGATCCCCGCGGGGATTAAATCCCTGAGCGGGGACGGGGATGGGGAAGAAGTGCTCCCCACGAGCCTTCACGGGGATGGGGCAGTAACCCCACGGGGAATTCCCCGTTGACATTTCGAATGAGAAGGTGACAATGCCTATGAGACCCTATCACTTTTTGACCTTCATACCTCTGGTAGAGCATAATAGAAAACACCAGTGGGACTGCCACGTCTCAGAACACAGGCATGATGCCGGCGCAGCGGAGCACGCCCATATGTGCTAGTTGTTATAACACACCCAGAGGGTTTCACAGAATATGTGGAGGTTAAAACAACTGTATTTAAGAAAAGATTGGTTTGACGTCTCACCAAGGGAATGGCAGTTTGCCTTGGAGAGAGGGGATTTATTTAGCATTGCTCGTGTCATGTTAGGTACAAAGAAAGCAAGTATAGAATTTATATATATAACAAAAAAAGCAAGTATAGAAATGTTAAAAAAAACCCACGCAAGCTTTATAAGCAGAAAGCATTGCGGCTTGGTCTCCTGATATCCAGATAACATATAATCTCGTCAGCAACAACCAAGACCAAAATGTCAGTTTTGTTGAGGCCAGATGATCTTTCTGCAGATTGTTATGATTACTCTGACTAATAATGAGTATAAAGGACTGGAGTCAGTATCTGCATCTTGATAAGTATTTGCTGATCCAAGTTAGCAGATTATCCATTTTGGGGAGAGATGGGGTACAGCATGAGTGCAAGACTGCATAATACGGTTCAGCCTGTCTATAGTAGTCTCCCATTTTCTATTATTCTAACTCGAGTAATCTTCTCCATTGGCAGCTCTCGACCATGCGTCCATGTCTCTTGTCACATACAACTTTACTCTGCCTTTGTAATCCATTCTGATATTGGTGCATAATGTATGCGATTTTGTCAAAAAAAAAAAGTTCAAAAATTGGAGAGTCCATCGTCGGAGACATGAGAGATACAAAGAGAATATTTATTGGATATCTCTTTAAATAAAGATATAGAGCCTCTTGGAGTTGCTCTTATATTAATTTTTTTTCGAAAGGACGGCAAAAGCTTTGCCGTGATTTTTATTAGACGGAGAAATTAAAAATACAAGTGTTCGGCCCAGTTTTTTGAGTGGAAACCAGACCAAAAAAACCACCAACTGGGAGAGTGCACCACTCATCCCGACCAAATTTAGAAACACCTCCCGAACACCTAACGACTTTGCCCCACTACTTGCTCAAATCTGAACCAACTTATTCGAAAATGGCCCAACTAGCAACACAAATGCACTGGCAACTATCTAACAACTAAAGCAACTAACAACATCTCAGCCCTGAACCAACTAGCAAAAACAACTATAACTACTAAACAACACCGAGTTCCGTTGAATACTTCCATCAAACCACTGACTGCTCTTGAATATTTCCATATCACCCTTTGGTTAGCTTGCCCCTCTTCTTGTTTTTTTGTTGCCCCACTTCAATTAGCACCGTGAGGGCATCCATCTTCGCCTTGGTGAGCGGACGCTCCAAATGTTGCGCAAAAAATTCAAATTGGTCAGCTTCCTCTTGTGTTGCTAGTGGCGATAAGTCTCCTAGCTTTTTGACAAGCAACTCCTCTGCAACTTGGATTGCTCCTTTTCCTTGTGTGGTTTTGGATTTCTCTGCTAACCTAATGCTTTTGCGTTGTGGGGTAAAGAATGAGGGTCTTGGTGCTGGTGGGGTTTGAGAAGTTACAGATGTGTTTTCCATTTCATGATCATTGGGTTCTTCCTCAGGAACTGGTACTGGTAGTTGTGGGATTAGAGGCGCTGGTACAAATTTAGAAATTGAAGCAAAAAACCCATCAATTGTAATTTCCTTAGCTATCGCAGCTGGATCTTGTGGCGAAGTGGAACCCAATTCAATCTCAACAGTCTCGGAAGGAACCTGAGGGATAACCGGCTCCTATAGTCTAGAAGAAGTGGTATTCTGATCATTGACAGTTTCCCAACCATTACCATGTAGATCAGTGTGTGCCAGGTCAACAACAAGCTTCGGTATTCCAATCTCTAGAGGTACGCCTCCTGAACTAGCCCCAAGCGTTGATGCCTTGCCATCAGCAACATCCACAGCCTCCCTTAAATTGTGCACTGGTTCCACTGTAGAACATGTTGGGTGCATCGCTTCCTCAACTTCATCCACTAGTGTCGTCGTACCACCTTGTAGGTTTTTTGTCGACGCCTCTGTCGGTGGGTCCCAATCTTTATGAGATGGTATTGACATCTCCAATAACCGTGAGCTTGCGTCAAGGTACGGAGGCAACGGAGTAGGATGTTGGGAAGTTTCCACATATGTGTAGAGGCGGGATTCGAACAACATGGGATCACAACTAAAGATACTGTAACACCCCAGGTGTTTGTCACCAGTTAAGCAAAGGGTTTGAGCTCAAACATGACATGTCGAGTGGTAATGAAGGTGTCAAGATCAAATCTACATGGTGGAGCTCCAACTTAAACTTGGGCCACGCACATTTGCTTACATATGGACCCTTGTTAAGATTATGCAAGAGTAATGTTAAACATTCTTATTCCATGTACATTACATCCCCATGCATCCATCTAGACCAGTGGAAAAGTTTCATGAAGTTTGGAATCAAAAAGTCACATGAAATGATAAGTCATATCTTTGCATGAATTGCTTTATCAAGTGGATGGAAACCTATGAAGTCAACCAAACCTTGGTACCTTGCTCAAACAACTCTATTTGCACTCATGAACAAAAGTTATGAAGGGTTCATGTTGAGCAGGTGGCCAGAAAATGCTCCAATGGATCAAAAAGGATAATTTAAGCTTCATCGTGATCCTACTTTGGTCAAAGTAGAACAGTAGGTTCTATACCAGTTTTGAGGTTGGACCTTAAATGAAAGTTGTAGTCCATATCATGTAGATCAAACTTTGTTTTTGGAACAAGAGCCAGATCAACTTGGAACTAAGTCAAACAGAGGCTCGAAAATTGAATCAGCGGCTGTTTTCAGACTTAGAATTTTTCTAAGTCTGGAATTCATCGTCGTCGCCATTGGCATTCCGCGTTCTCGTGTTTTTGTTAAGCAACTTGAGTTGGTCCGAAAATAAAAGTTGAAGGTTATATTATGGCGAAGAGCATGCAAAAAGTTGGAACCCGTTTGGCTTCGTGTTGATGGTTAATTCTGAGTTTTTCCTAATCGCCATCGTCACGCTGACAAACCAAAGTTTGGAGCACGTTATCTGCTAAACCATAACCCTAATGGCCCTGAACCCTTAAGAAAAGTTGGAGAGCATCAGGTGTAGACCAAACTTCATTTTGGGCCCATGGACCAAATCGGCCCGTAGCTAGCCCAAATCTACGCTCCACCATGCCCACACCGGTGCTCGCCACCTGTTCGACCGCTTGCCGACGTGGTCGCCGCGCATGGACGCCGCGCGCCTCCACCGTTGCCGCGTGTCCTGCTCTCTGCCACGTGCCCTGCGCCGCACTCCAAGTAGTGGAGCACCAGGACGACTCGCCTCTCCACTCCCAGCTCTTCTTCTCGCCTCTCTCCGCGTGCCCTCTTGCGGCCGCCATTGTTGCCACCGCGAGCGAGCTTGGCCGCCGTCGTTCTTTCACCTCCGAGTGCCTGGCAGCCCTGCATCCTCCGTCACCGGCTCCGCCTTCCTCTCCTGGTCCTCGCGCGCCCCTCCTCGGTCTTCCTTCGCCGCTGTAGAGCGTGGCCACGCGACAGCCATGGCCGTTGTGCGCCTGCTCACGTGGCCAGCGAGCCTCGGGCCGCTGTGGGGTAAGCCGTTGGCACCTGCGGGTGTGCGCGGGTCCCTCGACGCTTCCCCGTCACTCGCCGCCGCCGGCGAGCCTCCTCCGGCCGCCACCGGTCGAATCCCCGACGACCTCCCTGCTGTGATTCGCGTCAGGGACCTTGTCTTCAAATTCGACAAAAGGAGAGGGCCTTTCTGCAGAACCTGTGACTCATGTGAATAGTGTCGTAAGGACTGGTTTGTAATTATTTTGCAGGAACTTTAGAAATTTATAGTAATTCATAGGAAATTCGTAAAATAGCAAATGAGGACTTTTTGAAATTCTTGTGAAATTATCTATACATTAGATCTATAATATGACATGTTTTAGTTTCAAAATTTTGCGGTAAAAATAGATTTGTGCAGTAAGGTTATAATGCTAGTTGAATTTGTTATTTTCCATAACTGCAGATCTAGGGCTCCAAATGAAGTGAAATTTTTGTGGCATGCTACTCATGTGATAGTTGATGTGTGGTAAAAATTTCATGAGTATTGTATGAAGTATGAGTGAGTTATTGGTTTATCTTGCTCTCACATGATTTCTTGCTTTAGCAACTTATCTTTTTCATAGAGGTTGCTATACATATTCAAATGGAGTGAAATTTGTACAGTAGACTATTGAGAGGATATGTGAGCCACTGTAATTTTCGTAGAATTTATTATATACTTTTGGTATATGTTCATTAAGTCACCTTGTTATCTAAAATAAATTAAGAAATGCATTAAAAGAATTTATTTGGTCATGGACACTAGGTTTTCTGGTGTTCTTTAGTCATGTGTGACATGTTGGTAAAGTTGGTTTTGTCTAATTATGTGTTTGCAACATAAGTTAATATTTATTTTCTTGCAAATGTGGTTTCTGGACAGATCTGGGAACTTAGCAAAGTTCTTCATGATAATGTGCTTTGTTGTGAAACTTGTTTATATAAAAGTTGTAGATAATTCATGTATATAGCTTCTGTTAAAATTTGGTGTCATTTGGCCAAGTAGTTTGTGAGTTATGCCTGTTTAAAGTGGGGTTTCAGAAATGGCTGCTCTCTATCAATTGTGGACCAGTTTCTGTAAATGTATAATTTCGACCTACTTAACTTGTGAATCATGCTATGATGGTTACAGATGAAATGTAGATAATTTCATAAGCTTTCCAAAATGTCTTCTTGTAAGTCATTTGGATTTGTGTAACTCTAGTTATAGCTAAATCTTGTAGCTGCTGTTTGTATGTCCAGAAATTGACAGATTCCAATTATAATTGTTTGCTTGTATATTGCTAAGTGTGGCTCATACCTTTGATGATGGTTGAGTTAGAGTACCTGAGGTCTTAGGAAACTTGTGTCATGCTTGGTGTTGTCGTCTTCTTTGCTATCGTGGGATGATAAATTATGCGATATTTAAAGTAGGCAATGCGAAGTGCTTGTGCATGTTAATGTAACATTGTGCTTGTCTTACTTACTGCATGCGATGCATTGTCTATTGCACTTCCATGTATTCATACACTTGCATATTGCATCTCATCTAGGTGCGCTAGATGAACCACATGAAGGACGTGATGTTGGAGCCGAACCCGAAGACGGTGTATGGTGGACCTATCCCGAAGGTGGAAGGACTGGACAAGTGCTAGGACGGGAGATGCTCACTTAGCGAGTGTCGTCTAACTAACACTGACTCAGTGTGGGATCCCAGGCAAGCTCCGGAGCATATTAAGCCTTCTAATTTTTGAAATGCAGTTACAATATTATTGTTACATATATATTGTTGCATTAAGTTTAGGTGTTGGATGCAAACACTTGCTGCATTGGTTATCCAATCCTTGTCTAGATATTGATACCCTGAATCCTATGTAGCTCAGGCTCGTGTAGTGCTTAGCCCTACTTAAACACGGTAGAAGTCAGGTGATTTCCTGTCACCTGCGAGATATAGGAAGATACATATAGCACGGTTTGCTATATTTGCTATCGTGGAAAAGAACCAGACTTAATTTGAAATGAAGACCGGACGGAGGCTTGTCGGTTTGTAGTGACTCCGTCTGTGTCGATTAAGGACTGAATCTTAAAGCCTTTCCTGTTCATGTTGAACGCATGTCTCTCTCTTAGTTGGCCGTGTCCGATGACCGACCGTGAAGCCGAGTAGCTCACCTCAGGCCGGGAGTCGATAAGTATAAAGAGCGCCTCGGAAGGGAGCCGTAGGCGTGAGTCCAAGGGCAGGTGATTTAAAAGTCATGATCGTCCTGACGGAAGGGTAATCCTTGAGAGTGCTGGCGCTGATCGAACCCGCGAATTTGGTTCCTGAGTTGTTCCAAAGGTGACCCACGGCTACCCTTGCTAAGTATGCCAGGGTGAGAGTTAGGAATACCCCCTCAGCTGAGTTGTAATTCGATTCGAGTCGCCGTCTCTCCCGGTTAGTGAGAACTTGACGGGTTTATCTCCAAAGTAGATACACTAAATAACCTAATGGTTCTAGAATGATGATATGATGATGACAGCCTTCTTATACCTGCTATGGTTAATATTGTTTGCTCCTAATAAGTGGGTGCTCTAGTACAGGTGCTAATCTAGTGGACAGGTAAATAATGATAAGCTTGATGCTAAGTTTAAATTAGTCACTATATTCATAAGCTCTTTTATGCAACTGTGTCAAGCTAGCCCACCTCATAAGCCCTGCATGACCCTTGGTGTCATTTATTTTTTGTTTCCGACGGGTAAGTCTGGCTGAGTACCTTCTCGTACTCAGGGTTTATCCCACCATGTTACAGGTGAAGTTCTCGGCCTGTTGAAGATGGTGGCTAACCACCGATGGGCTCGGTGATTCTATAGTTACTTCTCATCTATATGCTTTTGTCGGATGATGTCACTTATGCTAGCAATGTATTTGGAACATATATTAAGGTAATCTTTTGAAAGCTATGTTATTTTCACTAATCGGTTTTGAAACCCAAACTTGTACTATTATTTGTGAATTCATTTATAATATTATTTTCCGCTGCAACCCTGCGTATGTGATGTGTATTTGCTTAATCACGTGATCTTGGTTGTGATGTTGATTTACCGAGGTCTTTCGGGACACTCGGTGGACTACCGGGTTTATATGAGTGAAGGTATGTGTGTGTCAACGTGTTAGCGGAGACAGCCATACTTGATCTTGTATAAATTGGGCGCCAGCATCTTTCATTAAAAAGAGGGGCAGTACCCGACAGGATGAGACTCCCATCATCAACAATAGCAGGTGCATGTTCCCCCATGACCTAGAAAATAGGCATCGCGAAGGATACCCTCTTGAGGCTAGGTGCTTGCTTCTTATGATCTCTATTGCTCCTACTACCAGCATGACCCACCACCTCCTTCGAACCAATGTCAAAGTGATTCTTATCTATATCTTCACTACCTTTGCAATTGAAACTCCTTCGCATTCCCTTGAACGACCATGAGAAGTCTGGACTCTCTTCTCTCTCCCAACATTGTGGCAAGCGTTGAGAGTGGAAGCCACTCTGATGGGACAAATGCATTCTGGGTTGGTGAGGTGTAATATACTCTGGGGACCAACGAGAAGGAAGTCTAAGACTTGGGCAAAAACTTGACATGTGTCCCTCTTCCAAACAACGCCAGCAACAAGTGTTCCCTCTGCAAGACACCACCATGTGCTCGGTAGAGAGACAGTTGAAGCAACGCCCCCTCATATGATGCAAGAATTTCTGTCTCCTCACCACATGCTGTTCAACTCGGTGTGGCTGTTCGTCGGCTATGGGGAATCTTGGATGCTCATTTGGTTTATGCCATTCACACTTGCCTTCCAAACAGCGCCAGCATCTTTCCTTTGTGTGCTGGAAAAAACTTCTTCCCTCAGCCCTATCTGTCTTGGTAGCTAGCATACCAGAATGGCCTGCATAGTGTCTCCACCAGTAGTGGCTCTTTGCATCCTCCCAGTCCCCGCAACCATGGCCTCCCTCCATAGGATGTGACGAACGACAGAGCCCTTTGGGGACGTGGTTGCCAGCTGGAGGTGCTCGGGTAGGTGCAGCTCTTGAGTGCTTTGTAGATGGGGAGGATCTTGGGGGCTCATGAGATATCTGTGCACCGGAAGCGTGCCACCGCTGTTTACAGGTTTGAATTTTGCCAACAGGATGAGCTGGGTGCCACCGCTGTCCATCGGAAGTGGAAGCATGCCCAGATTTTCGAGGGTCGACATCACTGCCTTGCTCTGCTTCGATCTTACCTTTCCCCTTCTCTTCTCCGGTGTGGCATCTCTGCAGGGTCTCGTCATGGACTTGAGTCTTGCCTAAGTCTTCATCTGAGCCACTCGCTATCCGTTGGAGGAGGTCTTCCAGCTGTGGGTCTGAGGACGACAGGGCTGATTGCTTGCAAGGATGCGGTTGATTATTGGAGTTCGGCGCAAAGAACTGTTGCAGATCATGCACGATGCTTGGAAGAATGGAGCGCCCAACTAGAGAGTGCGCTCCAAACAGATCCTTCGTCAAAACTAGGGAAACTTCATCCAGCGACACCAAAACGCTTCCAGGGTGAGCCGCAGATGACGAACTTGAGGCAAGCGGCCCCTGAATGGGTAGCTCAGAGGGGGGAGAAGCTGGATCTGTGGGGGGCATGTTCTGATTAGGTGGATTAGTGGTGGATTTTGGGGTGTCAGGGGGCTCGGGGGGCGTAAGACCCGTGGGCTGATGCGGGAGGGGTTGTAGTGGCATTCCAGTTGGGCAGATCGGGTTCCTTGAACTGGGGGAGATGGGCTTGGATCTGGCCAATGGGAGGCACCAACAGAAGTGGATCAAGCGTCGGGATGGCAGGATCTAGGGGAGGTTCGTCACCGTCGGGGGGAGGTTCGTCGGGGGGAGGGGGCGGGGTGGGAGACGGAGCGAGAGCCATCGATTCCTCAAGGGAGGGAGAAGAGATTGTGTTCCTTCCAGGCGTTTGTGCAGTGATGACGGCAAGCAGATGGGGCGGAGTCTGTGCGACAGAGTGGGTTGGAGACCGGACAATGGGATGCTGCGGAAGGGGCTCGGGGAGGGCTGCGTTGGCAGGGGTGGATGGACTGCAGGGGCTGCGGCGGCGGGTGGAAGGCGTGCAGGGGTGGATCTCCTATATTAATTAAATGCCGGGTCTTCGGATTAAAAAAAAAAGAATAGCTGTGTTCTGTGCACGTTAGATTGATCGATGCACCAGAATGGAAAATTAGAAACAATGCAATTGTCATAGAATCCAGTACAAGAGCAATACAATCAACATATCCACTTTCTGCAGGTTTAACCACAGCTCACCTACGCTGTGTAGATAAACTTCTAGGTCATCCCTTTCGACTCTAGCTTAGAACCCTCACGGATCTGAGGTCTTAGAGCATAAGAAACCCACCAAACTTACTTGGCAGCGACAGCATCTTGATAATCTGTCATCTGGTTTAGGTCCCTTCGTTGTTTTCCACAATCCTGTTTCATATTATTAGGCCTGTGGACATGTATTGTTCTTTTCCATCTCTCCTGCATCCATCTACAGAAAAGAAGACAACATCATTATAACCAGTAGCTCAAACAACCATTTAAAATGAAAGTTTCCACACTACTCCAAATAGTATGGCATGATGCACAAGGTTACTAGTAGTGTATATCACCAATATGCTTCTGCACGGCCACGTTCTTATCAAGGACATACGATCTTCTAGAACTTAGAAGCTTCAGTAAAAGAGATATAGCAGGAATGGGGGAACATACAAACAGTATTGAACATCATAAAAAATGTAAGGCAAATAACAAAACATGCATAAAAATCAGAATCTATTGCACTAATAAGATTACTAATCTCAGAAACTTCACTTACCACTTGACCCATCAGTTTGACTGTCAACATAAATCTTTACAAACAATTCTTTGAGGTCTTCACGTGCAGTCATTTCTTCCAAAACCCTATCATTGAACGTCAGTTCTGGAGGCAAGTTGCATTCTCCATGCTCCGGTTCTTTTGAAAAGAGCAATTTAGACATGTGCTCCTTCTTACCTTGTCTGTCATATTTGCTCCTCTCTGTTGTTCCTTCTGCAATTAGATTGTATGTGTACACAATCTTTTCCTGACCAATTCTGTAAGCTCGGCCAATCGCTTGCCTTCCAACAGAAGGGTTCCACACAACATCAAGTAGAACCACACGTGATGCCCCGATAAGTGTAATGCCCTCACAGCATGCCTTCGTTGATGCAAGCATTACCTTGGCCTTGCTTTTCATGTTATTGAAGACCTCCATCATGGTTTCGCGATTTTTAACAGGAACATTTCCACTCATTAGCAGGATCTCTTTGCCTTCAGCCCAATTGAACTTTTCTTTCAGCTGCTCCATGATCATGGACAATGGTCTAAGATATTGGCTGAACACTAGAACCCGTTCATTTAGCGCTTCACACAGACAGACAATCTCCAAAACAAACCTCGTCTTAACCCCTTCAGATGGAGAGGAGCGTAAACTCTTTAGCTTAGGTATGTCCAAGATAGATTCCTCTTCTTCAGACAATTTTGCACTAGCAAGGAGGGAGGGATGTATTGATGCAATCGAGATTTTGTATTCCGCATCAAGACCCATCGTTGCCACAGTCTTCTCCATACTTGCAATGACTTCTTTCTGATAAGGAAGAGGGTTCAGAATCACAACGGATTCTCTCAGTCCTGAGAGAGACTTCTGAAGAAATTTACCACTATGGATGTGCACAATAGGGTCCAATTTTTTCCTCACTTCATTTATGTTTGCCTTTGTGATGTCATTCAGTCTCAATGAAGACCAGAAATCTTTGCCCTCCTTCGTCTCTAGATGCACTGCATCTGCATCCTTTGGCCTGACAAGGCGCAAGGTGTTATAGAGCTCCTCAAAGTTGTTTTGGAATAGAGTCCCCGATAGAATTATTCGCTTTTCAGTGCGGACCCTTTTAAGAACCTTCCAGATAAGACTCTTCTTGTTCCTTGGCGTGTGCCCTTCATCAAGGACAAGCAGGTCGGGTTTCTCAAGCAGCAGCTTCCTCACCTTATCCCCGTCCATACCTTCATGATTAGCTAGCTTCCTGAAAAGTGAGTAGCTCAAACCGATTATGCTGGTTCCATTCATCCAGGACCCTAACTTCACCAATCGTCTATAATTTTGATCCATTTTATCTGTCAGTAGCCTTCGATGAAAAGTTCCATTCTTCGCAACCTGTTCTTGGATGGTCTTGTCTTCACTCCAGTTGATCTCAGTGGAATTCAGTACATGAAAAGGGAGCTTTACCTTCCATTTCCTGAACTCCTTCTCCCATGTCTCTAACATGCCCCTGGGAGCAATGATAACTGGGCTACAGTGTGGGAAAACCTCAAGGTAGGATTGAACAAATGTGATTGCTAGTCGCGTCTTTCCCGTCCCAGGTGCATGAGAAATTACACAACCACCTCCAGCAGCAGATTTTACGGTTTCCTTTAGCTGTTCAATTGTAGTACCTCCTGCCAGCTTCGTCCACAAGAACTCAAATGCATCCTGCTGGTGTGGGAACATAGTTTCCTTGACTCCAGGAATGAGATCCCAGACTGAACCAGCTTTGTGACCACCAAAATTGCATGGTAGTTCATGTCCATTTGATACCAGCACATCATTTTGTTCAAAAACATTGAGCATTTCCTTAAGCATCTTGTCCAACTCAGGGTCGATTGCTGATTCCCTTTCTGCAGGAAATTTCCCCTAATGGACGAGGAAAAAAATGAACTTATTAAAGGGGTTGGTCCTACCTAGCAAAGCATAATCATGTCTTACAGGAACATGTTCTATACTTGTATTGAACATTTGCTTACCAAAGCAGGCAGTACATGTCTGATTTCGAGATCGACAACATGACAATGCTTGCACCGAACTCCTATTTGTTCATCAATAATGAATTCATGCTGCCCATTATTGCAAGAAGTAACTTCCACTGGAGGAATTTCTTGCCCATCCTGAACACAGTAGCGTAAGCATTAGCTTTTTATTTGGATCTTAAATTTATTGGAGTAAGAAAAAATGCATAATCCACAGAATCCATCAATGCAAGCATGCATTTTTCTGAGGGAATCCAAGCTCAAGACAACCACTCCAAACTAAATACAACATTCGTAAAATCAGAAACACCTTGATTAGAAACAAAGTATAAACTGAATGATATAACATAAGGTTAAATACCTCTTCACAGCCGTTGGAACCAATATTCATGGATTCAAAAGCATTGTCACATTCCCTCCACAGGTCTTCTTGATACTTGTCATTTTCTATATTCTCTTCTGCACCGTCATCTCCGAATGCGAATACCAAAGGCAAACTATTTCCAGCTGCTGCATGATCAGGATCATTTACATGATCCTCCCAGCCAGAAAACAAGGAATTAAGGAGTTCATCGTATGCAGCTTTCGCTGCTCGACCGCGCTTCTTCATTCGAATCGTATGTGCCTTTCTTTTGAAGAAAATGCCATCCTGTTCATTGGACATGTTCATTGGGTTCTCGCCATTTGGACCATTGTATTTGGCATGCCCAGGATTTGAACCATCATACCTTCTGCAACCTTCCTTGCCAGCCTGAAGATTGGATAGCACCTTCTTCAGCCTCCGAAAAGGCCTATCTTTGGCGTCCCTAGCATATACTCTGTACTCCTCGTCACTACTGGTACTCGATCTCTTGCGCCGTCTGTTTTTTATTGCTCTTCTGCGCTTCCTTTTGCCAAAAGTTATGTTGTCTTCCTCACTTGATGACAGAAGTCCTTGTTGTGGCGCTGGTGGTTCATTATCCTCCTCAGAATCAGAAGTCGAGTCTGGAATATCAATATTGTAGGGTTTACTGAAAGTTCCACGTCTGAGCAGTTTTTTGTCCTTGCATTTTCGCTGTGATCGCGTCCGCCCTCCGATGCCCATGCCAACAGTCTTGCGTGGCTTCTGAGGCAAATATATGCCCTCAAAAACCCTCCTCCTGAAGACTCGCGTGTCATCGCCTCCTGACCTCATACTGCTACCTGCAATGGTGTTGCTAGGCGTGAATGGCTGCGCCTTCCCTGTTCCATCCAGTTCCTGTTCATCCTCCTCCCCTGTTCCATCCAGTTCCTGTTCGTCCTCCTCCCCTGTTTCATCCATTTCCTGCTCAACCTCTTCAGATGCGTCCTCTTCTTGTTCTCCTTCGCCATCGTAGATGCTGTGGCTTTCTTCTTGATTGCCACCTTCCTCCTCTTCCGACAATTCCTTTTCCCCCACCTCCTCCTCATCATCAATCAAAGCATGGCTATCCTGCCTGCTCCTTCCCTCCAAAGCCTCATCCTGCTCACTCTCTTGCTGTATGCCATTGCCAGCCCCATTGTTGTCGTCGTCATCATCATCATCTAACTCCACATCTTCCACACTCTTCTGCTTCTGCTCCTGCACTTCGTCCTCCCCTGTATCCTCGGACGACACTCGAGCAGAGTACTGCACTGTCCCCTGCTTCCGCGACCTTGACCGGATCCGCGACCCAATGCTGGTGCCGATCCAGTTCGCCGGTGCCACACTAGTGCTCCTCTCCCTTCTCGCACCTCCTCCACTCCTCGCCTTTCCCGGTGCACCCCTGGATTCTTCGCTGGACACGAGGGCCTTCTTGGCCGAACCCGGCCGATCACCCACGCCTCTGATTGCTTCTCTACTATTCACATCCCTGGAGGTCCTGGCGTCGTCGGCCATCCACGCCGTGCGATGCCCAGCCCCTGAAGCGCTCGAATTCCGGTCCAACGCGTGAACGCCGCCGCCGCCGCGCGCGTCGGGCTTGGCTCCGCCGGGCGATCCTCTCTTCTGCTTCCTCTTCACGTGAGAGCTTACGGGGGGCACAACCGCAACCAAGGCGCGCTTCGCCTCCGCTGAACGAACCCAATCGCAGTCCAAGTCGTCGGAAGCCTCCTCCTTGACGCGCCTCACGCGCCGGCCGCTCCCCTCGATCATGTCGAGCGGCACGGCGCCACGGAATCGGGAGCCGCCGTCGTCGTCGGAGATGGCGATAATCTCGGATTGATTCCGGACCGCCGCGGCGACCGGCAACGGCGAGGACGGCGCGCGGGGGTTTTGCGCCTGCGGCGAGATAGGCGCCACCCCAGGGCGCAGCGCCCCCGGACCCACCGGGTGGAAGACCGCATCGTCGACGGGCTCTGGCTTGACGAGCTTTATGGCCTCGCCGGCGGCGGCGATCGCAGCGCCGCTCCCAAGCTCTCGCCCTGTTTGGCGGCCGCCGACGCCGCCGTCTTCCTCGTCGCTATCGATGACGATGATCACGCGTTGCGTGGTGCGGCCCTTCCCGGCCTCTGCTGATGGCGGCGCGGGCATCGCCGGCGGTGGGTGGGGAGGCGGAGCGGCGCGGCGAAAGAGGGTTTTTGCTCTCGAGGTCGAGGGGGTGTTCTGTTCTGTGCGCGCGTGTAGATGTAGAATAGGAAACCAGAGCTGGGAAAAGGAAGCGTCCTCGCCGTGCGCTTTAGGCCCCACCTGTCAGTGGCGTTACAGTTACAGAGAGTCTCTGGTGGCTGGCTGGTGGAGATTGGACTGGAGAGCATCATCACGAGAAACGGAAACGTCTTGCTGCAGCGGTGCCACCTGCTGTGTCAACAGCGGACAGCGGTCCCCGAGTTTCTCACTCGAAATGCGGGGCCCGGTTGCCAGTGTAGGACTGTAGGTTTCCATCGTATAGGTTTCCAGTTCCGGATGAAGGCCAGACGCCATTGCTTTTACTCCTGCCTAGCTGTCTTGCCTCGAAATGGCATTTGTAGAACCATGGATCGGAGAAATGTAAAACCGCATGTCGTTACTGCCAGTAGGCCGGTTTGAGTGAGTGATCTACATCTACCACTTAGTGAGTTCAGGTGCTTGTATCCAGCATGTTACTGCCGCAGCTTTAAATTTGTAGACCAAGCATTGTATTGTATCCAGCTTTAAATGTCATCTACTAGATCCGAAGTTTTCAATGGAACACCACAAATCAAAGTCCAAACAAGTTGTTATGAAGTTCAATTGGAATTGAGTCCTAGATGTGCAGCTTGTTCCATAATGATCTAAATTTACATGCAGTGCCGTTGGCATTTTCTCCTAAGATGATTATGTAGACTCTTTTTCTGAGGGAAGATGATTATGTATACTCTCTCATGCATATGGTGTTCGACGTGCGACGAACAACTTAGAGCGCGTTTGGTTCTCATCTCTGGGCAGCCAGGCTGGCATCTGGGAGCCAGGCGCCCGTGAGCCAGGCTGGTAGCATGCAACGTCGGTTGTTTGGTTCGTGTTGCATTCACACGCCCGCATGCAGCCTCAGCTGATTGGTTGGCTTGCTTTCCTCCTTCCTGGTGCATGCGCCCCCTCTCACACGCATACGCGTGCTGCGCCCACTCCAGCCAGGTCCGGCAAAAACGGATTCCAAATCCGTTTTCCTAAAGCCAGGCTCCGAGGGGCTCCCTGCATGCGCCAGACCAGGCCCGTGGTCGAGCACAGGCATCCAAACAACGCTAGCCTGCATTTGTGCAACCAAACAGGCCCTTAGGGCCGACTGGTTTCCCTAACGAGGCATGACCAGGCCCCTAGCAAGCAAGAATGGCCTTATTGATATGGGGCTTTAGGGTGGCCCTGCGCCCTCCAGCTGCAACCGGGCTTGTTTGATTTACTTGCCTACTCGTGAGCCTGGCCCATGGGATGCAAAATTCACTCTCCTAGCTCCCGGGAAACGGAAATAAGGGCCATTTCTCCAGGGCCCGGCTGGATTGGGCGTCCATGAGAGGATAGCATTACCTTTTCTCTCACCCACCGCGCCTTTGACTTCACCGCGGCGTCGTCTTCACCGCGCCTTCGACTTCTTCCAGAAAAAGTGATGGAAATAGTGGTGGAAGAATTGAAATCTGATAAAAATCTATAAGTCAAATGAAGCTCAAATTTGTACAGCTTCTAGATGACTTAGTAAGACTCATCTCTATCAAATTTTGTGGCATTTGGGTTTGTATATTGGGAGATATGTATTTTTCTTTGAATGGTACAGAATCTGCCAGAAAAGTGACAATAGTTGGATTGATCAAGAGTCACTCTGATTGAAAGGTCCTCAGGTTAGAATCATGTTTATAAGTGTTTGTGGTACCAAAGTTTAGTTTTGAAATGATCTAGAAGCATGACAAGCAAAGAGTACAAGGCCATTTGATTGTGGAGTATACTTGGCACACAATGGATACTCAATTGAAGATTAAGATCAAGCTCAAGATGAAGATAAAGTTTAAGTTCTAGTGGTTGTTGGAAATCATTTGGTAGAAAGAAAATGACTTAAACATGTAGAAAAAAAGGACTTAAAGAAGGATTCAAGATTATTCATCAAGATAAGTCCATCACTTGGATCAATCAACAAATTCATTTCAAGTGAGTGTCCAGAATGGTTTTTTGGAGAGAGGTCACTTCTCCCTAGTGTAGGGGCTTGCCGCCTATGTGTAGGTAAACCAAATGTGGTACTTGAAAGGCTAACATGGAAGTGTTGATCCGAGAAACATTTGAGATGCTTAGTTGAAGCAATCAAAAGGATTGATCAAGAAAAGCAAGCAACACCCAAAAGAGGGCTAGTCATGAAAATTCAAGTGGTACTCCAAATAATTCTCTCATACAAGCATTGATCAAAGAATGAAGCAAGTCAACCACATCATGATAGTGCACATGATCATATTAGTGGTTCTCAATTCATATGTATGAAGAATGAACTCTATCTACGATGATTGGTCTTCACCAAGCTTATAATTGGACTTCACAATGTTTTTGGAGTAATGAATTGGAATCTATGTGACTATCCTCTACTCTAACATAGCAAAGGTACCATTGTAATGTGCATGATCATTTCATCCCTTATTAGTATGCGGTTAGTACATATAGTACATGCTTATTAGGATCATGCATGACAAATGAAAATCTTTGAAATTCATAGCCTACCATTATTGCTTGAATGATTAATTGATCTAGTGGTTAGTATATGAATTTGTTCATGAGTTAGTGAACCTAAGTACTTGATTTAATTTGGATTGCTAATAAGTGACAAGTACAACATTGGCAAGATAACCCTTGTAAAAAGTGTGAAGAAGCTTGTCATTGGTTTAAATCGGACTTGTAAGCTTAGGTAAATTAATTTAGTTCAAGTCAACTTAGAAGCTCATGATAAGTAATAAGAGTACAAGCATAAGTCAATAATGCAAATGGATATGTAGTTTGTTTGTTTCAAGTGGTGTCTAGATCAACTTATAAGTGATATCCTACAAGTGGTACTCATGAAGATAGCAAATGTTCAAGAAATGATTTTATTGACAAATCAATCATACACGTGGTATCACATCTCTACACATGGTATCATTCATACAAGATGATGGTTCCACAAGTGATACTCAACTTTAAGTGATCATCAGGTAAAGAATGCATCCTCATACAGGAGCTCAAACTTATCAAGTGGATGACCCATGCTATGACATAGGGGGAGGTGCCCCACCAATTGGTATCAAGGTCAAAGATCCTATATGTGGTATCTCAAGAGCTATACAAGTGGTGTCATTCCAATATTTGGAAGTGTCCATAAAAAATACAAGATTTAAGCATCTACCATTTACCCCAAATACAAGCCTTTCCATCAATAAGAAGCACACCTTTTATGAAAATTGATGACAAAGGGAGAGAGATTGTACAAAGATATAAAAGCCTTAGAAGAGATTGAGACAAAGATATCATGGGAAGTTAAATTTGGACATGGACATGGACAAAGTGAGAGCAATATTGAGGAATAAAGAATGATCAAAATTCTTGAACAAAAGAAGCACACAAGTAGGGGGAGCAAGCTCATAAACTTGTTTGATTGCATTTGATATGCGCATATTCATGTGCTTGCTTGCATTGCATAAGTTTTTAAATTTGATATGCATGCTTGTGTAGTGTATGCTAATTGTAGAACTTGAATGATGATTTGATAACTAGCATGCATAGGATGGTAACTAGACTTGTGTTTTACACGTGGTACTAGAACCTTGCTTATAATGTTGATCTCATGGGTTTTCTAGTGTTTTTGTTGTATAAGTACTCATGATGCTAAGGATGGTGTTAAAAGTACAACTCCGATTGGTATCACACTTCAAAGGTTATTCTATACACCTTAGCATCACAATGATTTCTACAACAACACTAAGACAAGTGATTAGTCAATAAGATGGCAAAACGAATCTTGCATCGTTGCTAGGATTGAGTGGCGTGGCAAGTTGAGTGGTTAACTCCTTGAAAAATATTTGTGAAAACCTAACACGCGTGCACAAGTTGGTGAACACTTAGTGGTGTTGGCACATTTGCAAAGAAGACAAAGTTGGAGTTAAAATGAATCAATTCAATGAAGAAACGGAGGCGAAAAGTGGTCACTGGAGGTGACCGGACGCTGACTCCGAGGGGACCTACACGTCCGGTCATGCTCTGCAGTGAAGGCGCAGGTGTCGGTCTTCAATCGGATACTGGCATTGAAAGTGACCTGACGCGCAGGGGCTATGCCCGATCAGTGATGACGTACGCTGACGTGGTGGCGTGAGGAGCAGTAATGCGCGTGGCAGGCCATGAAGGACCGAACTCAGGTGCTGCGTCCGATCGTGACTGACCTAACATGTCCGATCACAAAACAGAGGCTCGGGGAGCTCTCTGGAAACGACCGGACTCTGGCAATGGCACGTCTGGTCATCGGTTCGGTGGCTAGCGCGTGCATGGGACCTAACACGGCGTGGGTGCGTCCAGTCAACATCTAGCGTGAAAGATCTTCACTTGACCATTGGCGCAGTGTCAGTGATCGTTGAGATCGGGTGGTTGCAGTTGAACGGTGGATGACATAGAGCGACCGGGCGCTGGGCTGACGCGTCCGGTCATTGCGACCGGCGCGTTCGATCAGCCCGAGAAACGCCCAGTGAAGGAGTAACGGCTAGTTTAGCACATGGAGCTATAAAACCAAGTGTTGGCCAGCCTTGGCCGGTTGCTGAGCACCCTTAAGCCTTGGTCGCTTGTGTATGTGTGCTTGGGAGCCCTCCAACTCACTTATGCTTGCAAGAGTGCGATCCGATTGTGAGTGAGTGTGATTCTAGTGCGTTGCATCGTGAGGTTACATCGAGTTGCACTAGATGATCGAGTTACAAGATGGTGGTGCTTGTTACTCTTAGAGGTTACCACCAACTAGACGGCTTAGTAGCTTGTGACTATGTTGAAGCACGCGAGAAGATTGTGCGGTGCTCTAGAGGAGGATTTGTGAGGAGGATTGTGCTCACCCTGTGGGATCGCGAAGAGCAACTCTAGTCGAGTATATCATT